GTTCTGCATCTCAGAACGCCAAGGATGAACTCAGCTCTTTCACATTTCTCTTTCCGTGGGTCTGGTGACCCAGAAGCGATGACTCGTGGAATATATGGCGTGGGAGTTGCACTCAGCCCCAGAGCTGAACGCGCTTTGCTGGATTGGATCCCAGTGAACAGTCGTCTCTGCGCCGTCCGGTTATCCAGTTCCATCAAGCTCAATGCCTCGCGGCATAAAAAGCGGTGCCTGTTTGTCGTGTTGGCTTATGCCCCAACGGGCTGCAGCTCTGATGCGGAGAAGGATACTTTCTATTGAGAGCTATCCGGGCTGGTTTGTCAGGCAAAAAGCACTGACATTGTGATCCTTGCAGGTGATTTGAATGCTCAAGTAGGTCGTCTGAGCTCCTCGGAATCACATTTGGGTGGTCGACTCGGAGTCTTTGCTCGCCGCACAGACAACGGAGACCAACTCCTTCAGCTGTGTGGTGATCACGAACTGTTTCTGGCAAGTACGAACTTTCAACATAGACGTTCGATCGCTGCAAAGTAACCGTGGACCCAGTTGGACCATGTGGCCATCAGCCACCGGTGGAAGGCGACAATTCAAGACTGCCGTCAATCGTTTCCGATCATACCATGGTGCGTGCACCCTTTACAGTTCGCCTCCCTTTGGGCCCCCGCAAGTCAGCAAGAAGCATGACAATCCACTGTATCCGAAGAACTACCACAGTTCAGCAGTATCGATCTCAGCCAGCCTAAAAACTCTCCACAGTAAAACAATACTGAGAATGTGGATGAAGCAGTTATGTTAGCGGCGTTCGGTGCGATCTGTCCGGCTTCTCTGATTCGACCACAAGACCACTGGATGTCGTCAAGATCAATATCCATGACTGATGCCAGGAAAGCCATACCAGCAGGCAGTGAGCACGACAACGCACGCAAATCCCTCAAACGCCACAAAGTGAAGAGTCTAAGGAAAGACCGAGAGGGTGGAGGGAGATTGAAAGCTTCGGCGATGGAGAAGGCTTTTGCTACCGGAAACAGCCGTGCCCTTTATCAACTGATATGATCGACCCTACGAAAGCAAAGACCGAGAGCTCTGGTGGAGATTGAAAGCTTCGGCGATGGAGAAGGCTTTTGCTACCGGAAACAGCCGTGCCCTTTATCAACTGATATGATCGACCGGCCCTACGAAAGCAACGGCCAGCGAAACGATAAGTGAAAATGATGACTCACTGATTCACTCGCAAAATCGTTGACTGGAAAGATGGGCAGAACACTTCAAGGAGCAGTTCAGCTGGCCTCCTGCAACACAATCTGTGGAGATAATGCATACGGGCGAATGGGATGTAAACCTTGGTCGCCCGTCGGAAGAAGAGATAAGGTACGAAATATCCCTATTGAAACGTGAGAAGGGACTAGAACAGGACGGTCTGTATCCAGCTCTCTTCAAAGAAGGGGAAGAATAACTGGTGACTCATCTGACAAAAATTATTGGTTCTATATGAAACGAAGAGCTGTCTGTAGAATGGGGCATGTCGAGAGTTATCCCTATCTTCAAAAAGAGTAAGCGGACGCTGTGAAAAACACCGTGGTATCAGCCTGGTAGCTGTGGCATCGAAGGTTCTGTCTGCTCTAATCCTTCGAAGGTTGACTGAACACTGGGAGAGACAGATCCGTGAAACCCATGCTGGGTCCCATCTTGTAAGAGGATGCATCGATCATATAGTCACCCCCCGAGAGATTCTAGAACCGCAACACTGCTTCTAGCGACGAACAACGGCCGTGCTTCTTGATCCGAAAGCTGCCTTTGACTTTGTGGACCGTCAGGAACTATGGCAGTGTCTGTGGACGAAGGTGTCCCCTATAAATTCTTGACCCTTCTTAAGTCGCTGTACGTCAGCTCCCACCACCATGTGAAGGTCTACGGGAAGACATCTTCTGAGTTAACCATATCGAGTAGTGCCAGGCAGAGCTGCAATCTTTCACCTTTCCCCTATAATTTCGTCGCTGCTATGATCATGGAAGACTCACTATCAGTCCTAATGCCTGTGGGCTTGACGTGCACACTGGGCAACTCACGCTGCTCACGTCAAAAGACTTTCAGCGTTCAACCACTGATTTCTTCGGAGCATTGCCCGAGTCTGCTGGAGACACCGGATCAGTAATCCGGAAGTGCGTCGAATGGTATTCGGAAGAAATAATTCACCCTGGATTACTAAACTGATCACACTACATAGGTTGCACTGGCCTGGCCATGCGTTGCGTATGACAGTCAACCGACTGCCATGAAGGATTCTGTTGTATTGTGCGGTGGCTGAGCTATTTGGTTACGCCTGCACTGAGCCTGCCAGACTACGCGATAGGGAGAAGACAGAGAACTGAGGACACGGTTGTATTGCCAGGACAAAACATACAGAGCGTCTGCGTAAATATATAGGATGACTAATCGGCCAAATATGGGCGTTCACTTGTTC